GGAAAGAGCTTGAATCTCACTAATAGTGACAATTATCAATCAGACGTGGGTGACACAGGCAGGGATTGTACCTGAGTGTTTGGGGAGTGGCTTCAACCAGGCCCTGTTCTAGAGCCATCACTGGAGCAGGAAGGCAGAGTCACTTTTCTCACTCTTAAGTTATTTAAGGTGATTTCTCACAGGGTGTGAATGAGTAGGCTGGCCTGCGTGTGTAGTTTTTCTCTTCCTTGCTGATGGTTCTGAAGTATCTTCAGGCCAGTCACTACTGGCCACTCTGCTCTTCACTGCCTGGTGTGAAGCTGAACTGCAAGAGCTGCTATCCTGTCAGGAGGGACACCTTCCAGCCAGGGTGGGGCAGGCCCAGTGGCTACTGTCCCACATTTTGCTTTGTATGGAAAGGATACAAGTGTGTCTTGCATTTTTTTAATTAAAGCTTTTTATATTCTTTTTCAAAACTTTGGGGAGCCCTGTGGTTATTTTGTCACATTGTCTGATACTGGAGGCAGGGTGGCACTTAGAGGCAGGTAGGAAATGAGGGCAAATACCAGTTCCTATTCCCAGGGAAGGGCTTGTGTGAGTAGGCAGTACTGTAACACAGGTATGGCAACTATTGCATGTACAGGGTGGGGGTGCAGTACCTCCAACATTTTGTATAGAAATTGGAGCTCCACTAAGTGAGAGTGAAACCTTCCCCCCCCAAAAAAAGGGACCCTCAGTTATTTACTGTCACTAAGGACGATCAGGTATCTGACTTATCAAATTGTTGTGGCAATAGGGAGCTGCTGTTATGCTCTGTCAGAAAGTGCAGTGATGTGCCCTACAAGTGACTGGATTGCACGGGGCTGGGCACTTGTGGACTTAAGTCCACACCTCTCATCTCAGCTCTTAACAGTCAAGCTGGGCTCTTTCTAGCTCATATGTCATCCCCTTTAGCAAACATTTTTCAGGGAAAATTCTACCCTAATTGTCACATCTGTGACCCAGTTGCCTGCTGATGGTGCACAAGATGAAATGGAGCACAGCTGTGACAGTGAAGGGTAAGAGGCCTATTTGCACATTTACGTTAAGTCAGACTCACACTTTTGGGAATGGGCTGGGAAGTGTTTCCTGGGCTGTTATTGAATTCCTTCTTCCTGGAATCTCCATGACACAAGCTGAGCCTGGAGTAACCAAGTGCCCAGACTAGAGCATTCTGAAAATCAAGCTCAACTGTTACTCAACCATCTGCTCTAGAAGAAACATTGTCAGGTTGAGCTAGCATGTTAGCTACTTTTACCTATATGTTACCATTTTTCCTAGGCTTGGTCTACATTCCCAGTTCTTAGTGACAAGGCTCTGTCAACCTGGTCTTGTTGCTGAAAGTCAGCACCTGGGAATGCTGTTAGCTGTTCATGGGGAGTAGAATACCATTGCTCTGTCAGCAGGAGAGCGCTCCTCTCAAAAAAGCAGCGTTCACACTTGTACTGGCTGTAGCAAAGCTGTTTTTTTACGGGGTGGTTTAAGCACCCCTGAACAAAAGCTTTTGGGGCACAATTGCAAGTGTAGACAGTTTTAGGCTAGTGCTGCTCTAGAAAATGTTTGCTAGCCTAGAGGGTCTGCTAGAAAGGAAGGAGAACTTTTGGTGACATTGCTGTAGCCCCCAAAGCCCTGGTCTAGATGCATTTTTATCTTGACTTAAAATATTTTGTTTGGGGAAGTGATTAAACTATGCTGCCAAAAGCACTTTTGCCAATACAGGTGTACCTGGAAATCATTTCTAGCATGGAGCTGGCATTCATTAAGCTCAACCACATGCTTTGGCCTACAAGAGCCAGTAATCCAAAGTGAATTTGGTCCAGTCTGAGTCCCCAGTACTCCTTCTGGGTGTGTTATTTTGAGGGAGCCATTGATAGGTGGGGTGAACACTCTGTAACTGAAGAATCAGAAGTTATGACCTGAACAGAAATGCAGCTTGGGTGCATAAGGGCGAGTTAGTGAACGCAGAAATGAGTTCTGGCTGGGTGTGCTAGTGGCCCTTTTGCCTTGTGAAAAGTGTAGCTGTTTGATAAAGCTATGCTTTCAGCCTGTCTACCTGAACATGTTCACCCAGGGAGGGATGGAAGTGGAGCCTGAGCTCCCATTTGACTTAGATTAGTTCGGGGCTCTCTTACTTTCTGCGGAGCTGTTATAGTAGAAAGTCTTCCAGGTCGAGGTGCCCCATGTGCTGATGGGAAATGCTTCCCCCACCTGGTAAACATGGCTACAGAGACAAGAGATTTTATTGTTTTATTTAGTAAAAATGTTAAAATAAATAAATACAAATTGATCAGATGCTCTGTATCCCTGTGCCCCGCCCTGCCTCCCTTCCCCTCCCCTCACTTTAATTTGCTAAAATCTAAACACAGTTGTACCAAAACTGAAACCACAAGGGACTTGAAGGCTACAGAGAGAAGGCAGTAAAGAGACTGCGATTCACTATTAGCATCAGGCTAAAAAAAATAGAGATTTAAGAAAAACAAACCAGCTCACAAGTCAGTATTATCCTCATTACGCAATTCTGTGAAAACGGAGTGGTACCATTTTTAAAAAAGGGTATTTTACACCAAGGCCTGCAATGATTTGTGATTCTCAGGCATGGGAGGCAGCACAAGAATGTTGGGGTTGTCTGGCACGAATGACAAAGAGAGAAGAGGTTGGATGGTATCTGAATGAGAGGTTTTTTTTTGTTTCTATGCACGATTAAATGTGTCACATGTGGCTATGGAAATCTATTTAACGAAAAACAAACCTGCTACTTTTTCAGTTGGTGCTCTGGAGCACAAAGGGCTTATGCTACTGCTTTTTTACATGAACTTGCACTGAAGACAGCAGTTTCAAGAGTAACTGCTCAGTCCTATCACGAGTACATGGGAAGTTGGGGCCACTGTCTTGTTGCAGAAATTAAGGACCCTCTCAAAAAACAGCTGCTTTCCTGTTATCTAAAACCCAGTGTCCACTTTATTAGCCTTTTTGATATTTTCCCCTTCTCTGACAACTTGGCATTAGATCATAGACAAGTCACAGGCAGTGGGTATGAGATCTGTTACTAAAGAGCATTTCAAAAAAGTCAGGTGGGCGAGGGAGAAGACGATGGCTCAGGTGCTAAGATATGAAATCTTTCACCACTAGCTCATTGCTTCAATATGACCTATGACAATTTTAAAGCTGGTCAGGGGCCATTTGAATTACTGGCTCTCTCTGCAGCTCCTAGTAGACCAGTGTCTACATCACATCATCACTGGCACTAATTTTACCTTTCATAAGCATACGCAGCAGCGGTCAAGGACTTATTTGATCCTGGAAATAGTGCTTCTCCCCTCAGCTTACAATTGGTAAAGAAGTGTGTTTGTTAAAACATGATGATACTCCCTCCGACATGGTACTCCTCCATAACCCATTTTACTGCTCAAGTTGGCCCAACGTGCTGGGTTCCCTATGTGTAACTGGTTAGCTGGCCCACCGTGCTGCAGCAAGGAGGGGGTTGCTGGAGCAGCCACCCAGCCCCTAGCGTGCTGGGCCTGGCCAGGCTGGAGCCCTGCATCCCCACTCTCAGTAAAGGTGATGCTTATCAGTATCTGGTTACCTGTTTACATCCCTAGTACTGGCAGTGGCCTAGAGGCAAAGTAAATGTCGAAAGGGAAAGGTCCATGTTAATTTCTGCTCTCAGCCTAGGAGTTACACTATTATTTTCATGCCCATGAAATTAAAATGAGAAATCAAATGGAAACATGATTAGGAATTTCAGCCCAGCCCAAACCAAGCAATAAACGATGGTTATGTACCTTCTTGTAACCATTGCTCTTCAAGATGTGTTGTTCATGTCCATTCCAGTTAGGGGCATGTGCACAGTAGCCAGAAGATTTTCCCATAGCAGTGCAGCGCCTGTAGGGTCATTCTGTAGGGTGCCCCGTAAGAGTCACACATTGATAGAGTCCTGCCAACCTGGCCCCCCTCTTCAGTTCCTTCTTGCCAGCTACTCCAACAGAAGGGAAGGAAGGTAGGTATTGGAATAGACATGAACAATACATCTCAAACAACAGTTATGGGAAGGTATGAAACCATCTTTTCTTTGAGTACGTGTTCATGTATATTCTAATTAGGTGATTTACAAGCAGAAGGTCAGAGCCAACAACTGATTGTAACAGCCCTCACCCAAATGAGGCATTGTTCCTGGCCTGCTGCGCGAGCACATAATGTATGGTAAAAGTAGGAATCAAGTGGCTCTTCAGTTTTCATGAGTGGGAACCTGGGCGAGGAAAACAGTGGAAGAATCCTATGCCCCAATGGAATGTGCTGTGGTAGGAGGTGCAAGAATTCCTGCTAGTCTGTAGCACTGTTAGATACAGGATG